GCTTAAAGTTCCATCATGGCAGAGAGCATGATGTCAGAGAGGGCAGGCATGTCACTGAAGTAGTAGCTGAGACTTATATCTGATCCACAAGCAGGAAGCAGTGTTTGTGGGGTGGGGATGGAGACAGAAGAAAGAGAACTAACTGGGAAAAATTCTGGGCTTTTGAAACCTCAAAACCCACCCCTAAGTTACATACTTTTTCCAACAAGACCACAACTCCTAATCCTTCCCAAACAGTTCCACCAACTGGGGACCAAGTATTAAAACAGTAGCCTATGGGTGTTATTCTCATTCAAACCAACACACTCAGGAATAGGAGCTTATGAATTTCTCCTCCCTCCATGCTAGTATGTTAACTGGCTTGATCTTGTGCAGGTCTTGTACGGACATCCACAGCTGCTCTGAGTTCATGAGTACAGCTATCCTATTATGTCCAGAAGACATTATTTCACTCTGTTCCTCCCTGACCTCTGACTCTCATAATCTCTCTACCCCTTCTGCAGTGATCTTGAGCCTTGAGGAGGGAGTTTGATATAGATGTTCCATTTGTGACTGAATGCTCCATAGTCACTTTTTCCTTTGACCAGTTATAAGTTTCTGTATTAACCACTGCCTACTGCACAGAGAAACTTCTTTGATGAGATCTGAGAACTGCATTGATCTGAGGGTAGAGATAGGGATTTAGAGGGCAGTTTGATACTGTGTCCATTTAGCAAAATAATAGTAGGTTTAACCATGGGTTCTTAGCTAGATTACAATACCAGGCATGTGTTGCCTCCTATGGAGCAGGCTTTAAATCCATCCAGAAAGTAGTTGGTTACCCCAATAACATTTATGCCACTATTACACCCATAGGCATATCTTGCAACACTTGTCATTATTGCAGGTCACAGATTTCCTAGCTGGTAAGACTATTGGTGTTACCCCCAGCAGCCAGTGAAAGACCCTCTCTCAAATTAAGTAAATAAGTATTGGATCAATACCTGAAGAGCAACACCCAGTGTTTTTCTCTGGCCTTACCCACACATACCCCCAAGTTTGTTATTTTTTTTTGTGTGAGATTATAAATTTCATAGCAGTTGAAAAGTAGTTAATCTTCATTCTCTATACCTATGTGATTATTAATATTCTATGTTTTGGTTCCTTTAAAACAGAACAAAGCAGGAAGAACTGGATTATTTTGGAGGAAAAGGCACTGTGACCTTGTTCTAGGATACTGGGCATAGCAGTTCCTAAAACAGGTGTGCTTAGGCTGTGAGGGCCCAGCACAGGTCGGGGAGGTCAGTTGTGCTGAGAGCTCATGAGAAGAGACTGCTACCCTTTTCAGAGAGCACCTTCAGAGCAGCACAGTGCCCAGTAACAGCTAGCCTCCAGCTCTGCAGAGACTGCTGGCATCCAGACAGTCACACCTTCTGCTCCTGAGCAGGTCTCTTAAATATTGGTATGATAGCATCAGAGTCATGGTATTGTAAACCACAGAGTTGTACATTACAAGGATAAAGCAGATTCTACATTTTCTTTGCCTGGCATTCATGTATTTGGAGATGTAAACACACTGGGATGGCTTTGCTTCAGCTGTTCTGTGCATGTCCTCTGTGTGTGAACAGTTAGAAAACAAAGCCACCATTGAGTTCCATAGATGCAGAAGAGAGGTGGAGTGAATGCCAGCCTTCTGGAATGCTGTTTTTTCATTTGGGGCTAACTCTAGTAACTAAATAGAATTCTGATACATTTGCCAAGTGAAAGAGCTGGTATTAAGAATGAGCTTGGAGTGTTGTAGTTTAATGTATGTTTTGGAGAACAGGCTACAGAAAGCAAGTTCTAAGGCCAAAGATAAAAGTTCTATAGCATTTCTTCCTCTTTTCAGTGACAGGAAGGCAGACTCTGGGGGCATCATCCTACTTTAGATCTGTTTGTTCCGTAATTCTTACTCAGTTTTTTGTTTGTAACTTGCTCTTTCCTCTTCCTCCCCCATTCTAGTCCTGGTTATATCTGAATGAATTGTGAGACATCTAAGAGCATACTTAGGAGAACGCAATATATGAACAACCTTTTTTTTTTTAAAATTTTTGGTACCCAGATATGTCTTGATCATCCTCCTATCAAAACACAGTATTGGGTTTTGGAGAGATGACTCAGTGGTTAAGAGCACTGGATGCTCTTTCAGAGAACCTGATTTGGTTTCCAGCACCCACAAGTTGGCTCAAAAGTATCTGTAACTTCAGTTCCAGGGGATCTGATGCCCTCTTCTGACCTGTATGGGCACTGCATGCATAAGGCTCATAGACATACTTATAAACACTCATACACATAAAATAAAATAAAGGTGATTCTAAACAACAAAAAAAGTATCCTAGATAGGGTTGATCTAGGTTTCTCTAATTACTAAGTACACAGCTACCTACAGACACACACTGGACCCTGACATCCTCATTAAGGTCTGTGTGGTAATATCACAATGGTTGATGCCAGAAGGAGATGCCACAAATCTTACTCTGCAAAGGGGGTGTAATACAGAGCAAGTGTCTGAGTGGCCCCTATGAGGACAGTGCTCTCAGCCCCTCCCATATGTATGGAAAACCCTGTGGGGGTTAGTCGTTGACCACCAGGAGTATGGCTTGTGATGTGGTGGAAGATGCTTAGAGGGGGCCTGGTCTCGCTTTCCATCACAGTCTCCAGTGTTCTGCTTGTCCTTGTTCACACTTAGAGCAGCATCCTCAGTAGTTCTCTCTCCATCTGTGACATCAATGGCTTTCTGCTGTAATCTTAGTCCCCACACTCCATTCCTGTTTCCACAGTTAAGAAAGCACACTGATTTGGTTATAATTGCTTTAAGCAAATTGCAAATTCTAAAAGCCAACACTTTCAAGAACCCCTGGGTGGGGCAGGGGTAGAAAGTGGGGAGTAGCTCAGTGAGTAATAAGAGTACTTGCTGCTCTTACAGAGGATTCAAGTTCAGTGGCTCATAACCTCTGTAACTCTTAGTTCCAGGAATCTAATACTCTCTTCTGGCCTTTACAGTACCAGGTATATATGTGGTGTATCTGTGTACATACAGCCAAAATAGTCATACACATAAAATAAAGATAAGTAAGGCTCAGTCCTGTGCCATTGGGACAGAGTGTTGTGGGGAGACACATAAACACAAAACTAGTATGCCATGATAGTACACAGAGTACACTATGGGGCGTGAAGAGGTTCTGCTCTGTATATTCAGTTAGAATATCGGAATTGGGGTTAGTAGGAAGACAGGGAGGCATTCTAGATGACAGCAGATGAGTGAAAGTGGGAGTATAGTGGCTCTCTGAATCCTGGCCCACCTATCCACAGCCCAAGACACAGGGGCATGGAGGGGAGAGTGGTCAGATGGTTTGAGGCCTTGAAGATGATGACAGGGGCAGGCTTTGGTCTTCTATCATGTAGACAAAGGGAAACTTTGGAGTAACTTCTAGCAATGGTTGACATGGTGGAAGAGTGTTGCTAGGAGCTCCTGGGGGGATGGAATGGATGGAGCCTGGAAGTCAGAGACCATTTGGGTGAAAGAGGTCAGAGGGCAGGCATGGTGGAGCCCAGATTGAGCCTTTGGTTTTTCAAGACCAGTACTGAGGATGCTAGGGCACAGTCTGTGTAGTACACAAATATGCGGCATAATTGGAACAGTTAAATCTGGGAGATGGGAGAGAGAAAGGGAAACATGGTTCCAAGATGCTTAGCTCGATATAACAAGTAGAGGACGATGGTTCCATTTGTGGCACAGGGAGAAAGCTGTTCCTTTTGAAAAGGCTTGATTTGAATTAGGAGAGGATTTAGGAATCACGTCTAGGAGACAGCCAGAGAGAACTCAGGTATGCCTCATAGATAAAATTGGAAAAAAAAAATTGGAGTTAGGCACCTAGCAGCTGTCCTTTCTGTCTCCACTAGAAAAGCATCTCGGTGTGGTTCTGTTAGCCCTTCTGCCACCTTCTGAGTGAAATTCCTTCCCCATCTGTAGACTCACTGTAGAAATGGCATTATTCCATCAGCCAGGCTCTGGTCCAGAGTTTCAACTCTGCTTAGAACTGAATGGCTTCATTTTAGACGTCTGTTGACCATGCCAAACCCATACCAACTGTCTCACTAGTGGACAGCTGCTCACACGAAATAGACTTCACCTGGCCTATTATGACCTGGGATGAATTACTTAGAACCCACTTCCTCAACCATCCCATGGAATCAATTCACCCTACTGGCATAGTCCAGGCATCTTCAGGTGTTCACTTTTGAAATGAGGTTGCTTTGTTACTAAGCCTGGTCACAGTTGTCAACACATACACATGGCAATGACTATCCTGTTGCCAACTAGAATGGAAAATAGAGAAGGTTGGGTGATACTGTCTACCCTGCCTACAAAGTTCCAGCCTTTACCTTGATAGTCAGCTAGCCAATATGCCAGGGCCAAAACACAGCATATCTCCGCTGTGAAAATCTACAAATGCAATTCTGGGAATGTGTTTTCATACGGAATTTCTTAGTGTGAGCTACTGTCAACCAAAATTATAAAAACTAGTAGGCAGAGCCTGAACATTGCAAGCTTTGAGTAATGAGATAGGAAAGCAAAGAGGCACTTGAAGAATGTGCTCTTGCAGTGGCCATGAGGTGGGCGTGTGAGAAACTGGAATTAACTGCTGGTTAATGTCACTGGGGTGCACTTATCCTCCGTTCTGCCAACGTGGAGACTGTATAGCACTTCACCTGACTGAATCTGGCAGCTTTGGAAGCATGTATATTTCTAGGTCTTTCCACCTATAATTTTATTTATAGGTTCCACCCCCTTTTAGGCAGTTTTCCAGCTATCCCCTCAGGAACAGTATTAGCCGGAGGTTTCTCTTATGGACTTCCATTATTCTCACGTTTCCACGAGGCCACTGCCTTTTTGGTGTTTATATGATGTCTTCTGCCATGCACTGCCTTGCGGTTTTTCTCTGAGTTGTTGACTTCATGTTTTCACTTCACACTTACAGGCTGTCTCCTGGCTCAGACATCTATGTGACAGTCTCATCCATGGCTTTGGCAAGATCCCAGTGCCGTAACTCCCCCAGCAACCTGTCTTCATCCAGTGAGACTGGCTCTGGGGGTGGCACCTACAGACAAAAATCCATGCCCGAAGGGTAGGTATGCCATTTGTCCCCCTGGAGAGTGGTCTATCATCAGTGTTCTTCTCTGTGTCCAGACATGTAAAATGATACCCATTCAGACAGGCCTCATAAAGCTCCATGCAGCCAGCAGAGAAGATGGATAGAGGAATGTCCAATGGCTAGGTCAAGCCACTTCTGAATAAGACGATCAGTCTGTAGTCGGTGCAGCAGCGAAGTCAAACAGCATCAGCTTCTCATCGCATGGATTGTTAGTATCTCTGGAAGGGTTTTGTCACTTCCTAATACTTCCTCCAAAGTGAACTCAGCAAAGCACTGCCTGCACTGGAGTCATATTGCTGCTGATAGAGAAAATGATAACCACACCCTGAGCTTGAAGTTGTCTAATAAGATGCCTGTATTTTATTGGTTTGCTTTTTGTTGTTACTTGGTTTTGCAAGACAAGGTTTCTCTGTGTAGCCTTGACTGTCCTGGAACTCACTCTGTAGACCAGACTGGCCTCAAACTCACAGAGATCCACCTGCCTCTGCCTCCTGAGTGCTGGGACTAAAGGTTTGTGCCACCACTGCCCAGCTGCTGTTTTCTTTTTAATCCTCTAAGTGCCCAAAAGTAACCATTTGTCAGGCTGAGGCTGTAGCTCGGATATGAGCACTCACCTAGCCTGAGGCTCTTCGTTATGTATCCAGTGCCACTGGAAACAAAACTAAACCAAAGTCAGAGGGGAGGGAACTACACCTGACTTTAAAGGCCACTGTGGGGTGAGGGGACGGGAATGTCTGAGGCTTGGAAGCCAAGGGCACAGAAGCATAGCATAACACACACAAGCTGCCTCACACAGACCAAGACAACCAAGTTGTCTTTTCTGGTGGTCCCAAGAAAGAGCTTGAACCATTCAAGGTTCCCAAAGACGGATTACAGATGGAAACATGATTTGGTAACTTTGCTGAGATTTAACCATGTCAAAAATTAGCAAGCTACTGATAATATCCTCATAGTGGTTATTTTTCTCTAGACTAGTATCCAGTTGAGCTTTTAAAAAGGTTGATTTGTATGTCCATATGTGTTCTGTTTGCATGTATGTATGTGCACCACGTTTGTGCCTGTGGCCCTTGGAGGTCAGAACAAGGCATCAGACTCCCTGGAACTAGAGTCATGGATGGTTATGAGCTGCCATGTGGGTCTGGGACTCAAACCCAAGTCCTCTGGAAGAGCAGCTGGTGCTCTTAACTGCTGCGCCATCCTCCAGTTCCTCCACTGGTTTTCTTAGCCGTTGGATAGGAATATGTTGGTGGTGGTGCTGAATGTTATATTAACAGAAAGTAGGTGATAAAAGCGCTCTACAGTATGCCTTCTCCACCGTGTTGTCGCCAAAGTAGCCTGTTTGAAGTGCATATGTCTTACTGTAATTGCTTCAATGATGACTAGCAAATAAGTTTAGCTTTTCTCCATCAGTTCCTGCAGAGGGGTTGTGAGTCACTTATTGTACCGCACCACAAGTCCAACTAATTATTTCTTACTTAAATTGGATTTTAAATGGTATGATTTGCCTTCACAATGAAGAAGTCAACATACCTTCATCATTATTATAGCACTAAATATCAATGAGCTAACAATAAAAAGGTTTTTTTTCCTGTCTGTGATACACTCTAGATGTATATCAGCAAAGCAAGTGAAGACATTAGTGCTATACTTGATGCTAAAAACCACAAGTCCCATGCCCCTAATGCTCTGTTTTTGTTAACAAAATGGTGATTATTCCATTGGGCATGCAGTAGCCAACCTGTATCCTGGATGATATTGAGAGGTTTTCGATCTTTGGTGAGCCCACCTTGGATTGCAGACATCACATAATTCATTTTGCACCTGGGGATAACTTTTTAAAATAATAATAATAATAACAATGAAGTGTTGCCTTCTATATACGAAAGTCATTTTTGGTGTTTGTTGTTTCTTTTTGTATTGTTTTTCAAGACAAGTTCTATATAGTCCTGGCTGGCCTCAAGCTCAGGGATCTGCCTGTTTCTCCCTTCCAAGTGCTAGATTAAAGGCATGCACCACTACACAAAGCTGTTTCGTGCACATCCATGAGGCAAGAGGTGTCTGGCTCACTGGTGTGTCTTGCTGTTGCCCATGAAGTTTGATCCTGAAATTACCCTAACCCAGAGCAGTTGTGTTCAGGTTGATGTTGAACTATGTGTGCTCTGCTGGGCATATGTTAGTGTTAGGCATGCACGCCATTAGAGCAGTAACTCTCCGTGGACAGTGTGCAGTGTTGATGTCTTCCCTCACCTCAGCATAAGACTATTCTCTCGTCTTAGAAATGCATTTTGATGCCACTCACTAAGACATTATTTTCTAGTTGTCCCTAGTGAAGAATTAAACTTGTCTGTGATGGCAGCTAGGAACAGGTTCCAGCCCATTGTGAAGAAGTTTCAGAGGTGCCAGCCTCCTGCAGAGAAATGGGCAGCTTGGGGGGCTGTATGCCTGGCCACTGAGTATGTCCTGTGTGAGCCCAGTGATTGCTTTAAACTGCTTTCAGATACCACCAGTGTCTCAAAATGTCAAGTTTATCTCCAACAAGGTCCTCTAAAATGAGGCCAAGTGTGGGATTTAGACCTTTTATCTAAATCCCTCAATGACAAGATGTTTCTCGTGGGTTCTCTGACACACAGCATCTATGTAAGAAGAAAAATGCTTTTCAAGGCGGAATTTAAAGTGTCTTGGTATTTATGGTTCTCCTTTAAATTTGGATGGAGAAAGTTACCTTTTAGTTTGCTCTGCTACAAAAAGGAAGAGTGATATTGGGATCCATGTCTAACTGGCATCCTTACCCTATCTTGAAAAATCCTTCCTTTGGTGTACATTTAGAATAGGGCCGAAGGGTCAGTGTGAGGGTTCTCACTGCTTAGGGGAGAGAAAGCAGATTTGATAATATTCTTCTCCCCTGCTAGTTTCATAAATAAGGGTTCTTTCTTGGGCTACAGGCATATACAAGATCGTTTTTCACAGTGAGCCTTACAAGGGGGCTTCTACCCAAGATGCATTTGCCACAGCAACTGGGAAGATAATTTCACAAATTTTACTACAGCCAATATTTTTGTGGCATTCTGTATTTTCCAAGTCTTTTGCCTAGATTTTGCTGCCTAGAGCTTTGCAATGTAATTGCCATGTTGTGTATAAAGAGAATGAGACAGAGCTTGGGGATTTTGTTTAGTTCTACTGGGTCACCAGTTTCAACTCAACTCCATGTTTTCTCACTCCCAGAGTCCTACCCTTCCCAATATAGCTCTTGCAGGTCCAGACCATATGTCAATCATCACAGGTAGAACACAGCCAGCAGTTGATACAGAACCTATAGAGGGCTATGTTATCTATTAAGTTCTTCTGAAGTTCATTAGTAACTGTTAAGAGACACTATGACCACGAAGACGACTCAAAAACACTTCATTGGAGCTGACTCACAGTTTCAGCGGTTCAATCCATTGTCATTGTGGGAAAGCATGGCAGCTTGCAGGCATGCATGGTGCTAGAGAAGGAGCTGAGAGAGAGAGAGAGAGCTCTACATCCAAATCTGCAGGTGTAGGAAGAGAGTGTACACTGGGCCTTGCTCGAGTATCTGAGACCCCAAAGCCTGCCTCCAGTCACATACTTCCTCCAGCAATGCCACACCTACTCCAATACCTATTCTGACTACCCCTCCTAATAGGACCACTCCCTGTCGGCTATGCAGGCCATTTTTATTCAAACCATCACCATAACCATGGAAAATATAGTAAATAGCCACATAAATACTTGAATTCTATACTCTGACCCTTTGTGATCTCAGAATTCATATCAGTATTTGTGCTATATTAATAGAGATAATATGATTTTGTTAAAACAAGCATCACTGTTTTTTCACGAGGAGAATCAAACTGGCTCACTAAATAGCTGCATTTCTCTCTAAAAGTGGATATTTATCATTTTACATGCCAGCTTACCTACTTCCAAATTGTCCTTCCCAGTAGCAACTTAAAATTCATATAATTAGAAAGTGACTTTCATATACCATAAATGGTAGTTGTCTTTGTTTTTCAGATGATAGAGTACATTGCTCAGAAAATAATTTATCCAAGAGTAAATTAATGATTTCGTGCATTGTTGAATTAAGAGAAGCAACCCTCCATAGATGCACTGTTTAGAAGAAGAGTATGAGTGATTTTAAGCGGCAGTCTGAACTTGACTATGTGGGCTGGTGGACAGGGCTTCTTGCTCTCCGGGCCTTCTGTTAGCAAGCTCCTTGCCCTAGTTAACACTTGGTTTCAATTATAAGCATACCTTCCTGAATAGAGAGCTGTGTCTACGTGCACAGACATGCAAGCAGAAACTGGAAATACCTGTCATCAGAACCAGGACTCCACCTTGTGGGTAAAGATTCTGATGTGTCTTGCTTTTGTTTGGGAATCACCACAGGTTTGGGGTGAGCCGAAGATCTCCAGCCTCCATCGACAGGCAAAACACTCAGTCAGATATTGGTGGCAGTGGGAAATCCACACCCAGCTGGCAAAGAAGTGAGGACAGCATTGCCGACCAGATGGGTATGTACTTGGTTTATGTAAAAGTGCTTTCAGAGCAAGGTGACCTCTTGATAGCATCAAAGCATGGTGTTGTAAAAGGTGCCCCAGTTAGCAAGTATGCATGAGAATGGGTCTCTGCTAGACTTTCACATACTTGTGAAAGTAACAAATAAGAACAGGGGCTCTCAGTGACCCCAGACTTCAGCCAGCGTGACCAGGGCTCATGTTTAATGGCCAATGTGCTGAAGCTCCTGACTTCTCAGTACCCTTCTTTCTCCCTGCCTACTTGCTTGCTGCTTGGGTTGGTTGATTGGTTGGTTTTTCCTTATGCCTGGGAAGATTGTTTGTTATTCTTAATGTAAAGGCAGGAAGGGATTGAATTCTTGTCTGGTCACATTTGTATCTTGGTTATCTAACCCTCTCCTGCCTGATGGATATTTTAAGAAAGTTTCCCCTCCACTCTTGGGCTGTCAGCTAAGAAAATTTCTGAACAAAACGGCAGGATGAAATGGGTTCAGTAGGGAGCTGTCATTCAGGTCTCTGGTGCACAGCCCTATGTGGAGGAGAAATCAGTATGTCTATAGTGGCACCATGAACACTGCTTGTGGCCGTGTAAACTTTAACAGACTCACCACAAGTTTGATGCCAACCCAACCCATATAATCAGAGACTTGGTTGTGAGCTGTTGGGCTGGCTCTGCATCCTGTCATCCTGTGCCTCCGTCCCACAGTCTTTCTTCTATCTTCTGAAAGTGTTGCAATCAACATGGGATTAAGAGATACACATTTCATGCCTGAAACAAACATTTAAGGCAAAGAAAACCTACCCTATGTTTGCTGAAGGTTGATGGGTTTATCCTGTGTGAATGACTGTGCCCGAGTAAATAAATGAAAATTGAAGAAGAACAGTGTAATTCCTAGGTCCTGAAGATGTGCTTTATTCCAATGTGCCTTGTTATTGAAGCCATCTGTCACTCCCCAGTATTATCCCACCCACCCCAACTCTGAAAATCTAAGCATATTCTGTCTGCTTCCCTGCTCTTGACAGAATGTCGTTAATCCATATGTTTTGGTACTGTTGGGATAGTAATGTCATACATGAGCAGGCTCCTCTGCAGCATTACCTTAGTGGCTTTTTCTGGCTCCCAGTGTACACTCTAGCCAAGGCTGCAGCAAGCCTTTCCATGCCCAGTGTGGTACTTCCACTGGGAATCAGAAGGTGTCTGGGCACCAGAAGGATAGTCACACAGTTCATCATACATCCCCTAACATGACGTGCTCTCCAGTCTTCTTCCTCCTGCATCTACTTCAGAGTAGTGGCATCTCACTCCTCACAGTTTATGATGCCGGTATGAATTTGAATCAATCTCTTGAGCACAATGTTTCATCCATCTGGCACTATATAGCTTTAAATGAAACTAATAGTCAGGTGCTCCTAGAGATTGCCTGGAAAGACTTCAGTATACTGTGAAATGTGTGATTGATGGCTTTTCTTCTCTCAAAATCTATTAGCTGATCATGCCTTTAATCCTAAGCTAGGATATGGGGGTTGGCTGAGTCAAGAGAATACCATCACTTAAAAGCCAAGTTGTGCTACAGAGTGACATCCTGTTTCATAATGCTAAAATACATTATTAATTTGGGGATCCCAGAATTCCAGGAGAATAAGCTAGCCTTCCCTAATTGTTATATCATAAGGAATCCAGGGCTTGGTTGATGTCCAGGCTGTCCAACCTTTTGGCATTGAAATAAACTTGGTTATCTGTGAAAGTCATACTCAAAGAGCTACACAGTCAGGCTACAAAGAAAGAAAGGAAAAGGAAGGAAGGGAGGGAGGGAGGGAGGGAGGGAGGGAGGGAGGGAGGGAGGGAGGGAGGGAGGAAAGGAGAATCCTATAATGATGTGGCTGGACATGGTGGCACCCATCTTCAATCCCATTGCTTAACAGGCAGAAGCAAGGGGATCTGTGTGTTTAAGACCAGTCTGGTCAGCCAGGGTTGCATAGTAAGGCCCTACTGCAAAATAAAACATATGTGCGTGCACATGTCTGAGTGTGTGTGTGTAAATCTCATAGTGTTTTCAGTTAGTTCACAATTTTTTTTGTTGATTGTATTCACAGCCATCCTTAGTTTCGTGTGTCCTGTGGGCTTCAGGTTGAACATACATGGCAGTTACCACAGGGAAAATATATTAAAAATGTTAGATGTTCCCTGGCTCGGTAATGTATAGAGTTGACCTCCCCACACTTGGTGTGGATGTAACTGGTACCTGCTAGGCAGACTCATCCATTCCTGCTACCAGTGTGCTGGGAGCTAGTTCTTCCTTACAGTGTGGGCAGTCTCAGCTGGATTCACGGGCTCACTGGTCTCCATGGATGCTTGTTTCTACCTCACTGCTCCTGGAACAGGCTGCCTGGTCCTCTGCAGGTCAAGAAGGGTGTTGGAGAAGTCCATAATTCCTGTTGTTAGCTCTAGGCAGTTGGGGTAAATCACTGTCTCCTGTTTTGGGGACCCCATCTTGAACATCAGTGTGGATCCTGAAAGGAGATGATCATTTGAAGTAAAGTAGCTGCTGTGTGTATGTTGTGTCATGCTTACAGTTATAGAGGACCTCAGGGATGCAATTCTTCCTGTCCTTGAGCAGAATGATTCACAGATAAAAAGTTCCCAGTGTGTGACGGTAAGTAACGTGTGATAGCATCCATACCTTTCCAGGGAATCGACACTGAACTACGCTAGCCTCACTGTAGTGACTGATTCGTGAGTTTAACCCATGTATTCTGAACTTCCCCCAAGGAAACAATTAGTTCTGAACTTTGCTGCATTGTTCATGGTCTTTGGTTTGGTGGCACTTGGCTGTGCTAATGTGTATGATGTGACATGTCACCAGCTGCAAGCTTTCTCCGCCAACCACCTAGTTTCTGACATGCTATCTCCTGTGTAGACTCCTAACAAGCTTGCACTAGTGCCGAGAGTTGTCTGGTCAGTGAGCTCTGAGAGATGGGTGGCAGGTCTGCGTGTGGCAGCTGTACCATAATGTCCTGTGCTGTGTTCCAGAGCCTACATGCCATCTCCCAGCAGTATCAAAGGTACTGCCTGCTTTCCGAGACAGCCCCAGTGGGAGATTAATCCGGCAGGATCCAGTGGTTCACTTGTCTCCAAACAAACAAGGCCATGTAAGTTCACTGTGAGCTTAACAAAATAACTCATTTCCAGCAATGTATTATGATACCTGTAGTCTGAAAATGGCACCCACCTTCTCTACTCCAACTCTGTGTGGCAGAAGACTTGTTACCTTACACTTGGGGTTCGCACAGTCCAGATTCTGAGCTGCTTTAGTGTAAACTCTATTCTGAAGAGTAGGTCTGCATCCCAACAGGTCTTTAGGAGTGTTCAGGAATTCAGAAGTCCTAATGTTAGAAGGAGAACTGTGCAGCAAAGGGGGTCTCCCGTTCCACATAGCTGGAAGAATGAGTGAGGCCAGGTCAGACAGGTCAGGACTGACCATAGCCCTGCCGCTTCTCCTGTCTGTTCTAACATGGGTTCTCATTGTCTTTGGGTACACAAAACATTGGCAGGTTATCATTCCCTCCCTGCCCCCTCCCTTTGTCTCTGTTGGAAAGTATGTTTTTATTCGGGTCACTTGCTAGGATGAGGAGTTCTCCATTTCACGCTTGCGGACTTTGAGGGTACTCATACTGTACCAGTTCTCTTCTAGAGAAATGAATATTGAAACTAAAAAACAAGCGAGTCTGTCCTGTAATATGCCCTGTAGGTTTGCTAGGACCATGTTCTTCACAACTCTACTTGTATATGATTGAGAGGAGCCAGGCTGGACTTTCCCTTTCTCGTTTCAATTGTATACTGACTACCTGGTACAATAGTATCTGGAATACATGGTGAAGTCAATTTACCGAAATTAAAATTTCCTGTTTCTTCTTACTGTCTGGCTGAGAGAATTTCAAATGTATTTCAGCTCACTCTCAGGGCAGGCACATTTAAGACTCAGAGGCCACCTGTGGCTGGGGCTCCATGGTGATAGCTCAGGGGAAAGCTGGAGGAGTTCTGCACAATTCCTAGGCATGGTGCACAGCTGGTACCCCAGCACTCAGTGTACAGCCTGGGCAGCATATTGAGATGACATCTACAAAATGTAAAGTTAAATAAACAGACTTGTTATGGAGAAAAGTTAGCATGCTAGTAGTAAAGTAATGGGTGGTGCCTTTTCAAGGTGAGGGTTTCACCTCCAGGAACACAGGTGTCCTCCCTCCCTGGTCTGGGCCAGCAAAGGACGTCTCCTCCCTCCACCAGAGATGCACACATGGCACTTCCCTTCATCTTCTTGTCTCCAGCAAATAGCTGGGCTTCCCGTCTTCCTCCCATTTAAATATCACTTCCCAGAGCACTTGCTCAGTCTGTGCAAGGCCCTGAGTTCAGCCTCCAGAACCATCTGTACACCAGAAGTTTGTTCAGGTAGCTTTTAAAAGCTTTTTTCTTTGGTAAAGTCTATAAAACATCATTTCTAGGCATCTAAGCCACTGACTGCATACACATCTTTGTTGTGATGTCATTCATATACCATAAAATTTACTTAAAGAATGTAATCTAGTTGCTTTTAATATATTCAAAGAGACTGAAGATGGCTCAACAGGTAAAGGCACTTGCTGCCAAGCCTGATGACCTGAATTTAATGCCGAAACCCACATGGTGGAAGGAGAGAACCAACTCCAGCAAATTGTGTTCCGACTCCACACACACACACTGTGGCATATACATGCACACACCTAAATAAGTAGATGTGTTTGTAATAATATGTACATAGTCAAAGAGTTGTACAGTCAACACCATGAGCCAATTTTTCAGAAGATTTCATTACTCTGAAAGCCTGTATCCTTCAGTAATCACCTCCAATTCCCTGTCCCTTCCAAGACCCAGGGAACCACTTAATTTACTTGGGGCATCTATGGATATGTCTATGCTTGTCATTGCACTTCAGTGGAAATCATGTGATCTATGGCCTTCTGTGTCTCAGATCTTTTATTAAACACAGATTAAAAATTCTTACCCTTGTTGTAGCTACACCTGTAGTTCATTCCTTTTGGGGACTGAAGAGTACTCCATTGACAAATGGAGATGTATGTATGTATGTATGTATGTATGTATGTATGTATGTATGTGAGAGATTGTTCTATTTTTATCTATTCATAAGTCACTCATTAGGCTTGTGTCTACTTTTGTCTATTATGATTGCTGCTTCTATAAGCACTCAAGCATATGTTTTTGTGAATATACATTTTTATGTCTCTTGAATCTTCATCAAGAATGAAATTGCAGTTATTTTGCCATAGCGACTGCCGCAGTTTTCATTCCTAACAATAATCCCCTTTTTTGTCTGCTGCTTTGTTTGGAGGTTTTCTTGTGTATGTAGAGTCCTCACTCTGCTTTGCCCTACATTGCTGTGTGGCCAGTGACACGGAGCCCCTTTCCATGTGGTCATTGACATTTAAGTGTCTGCTCTGCAGAGACATCTGTTCATGGGTCACACCATTTTTAATGTATTATTTGAGACAAAAAGCTTTGGTTTTGATCAAATCCAGTTTCATGTGTGTTGTCCTTGTGTCCTAGCTAAGAAACCACACAGTTACCCACAGTCACAGAAAATTATACCTGTTTTTGTCTCATGTTTTACATTGTAGATTCAGGTCTTCTGTGCCTCTTAATTTTTTTTTTCTATGCAGTAAGAATTCAACAACTTCTTGTTTGGTTTTGGCTGGTTGGTTGATTGGTTGATTTGGAGGATTCTGGCATGTGAATATCCAGTTATCTCAGTACCATTTAGTGATGAGACCAGTTTGTCCCCCTAATGAATTATCGTGGCGTCTCTGTGTAGATTGTAACTTTCAGTACTGGTTGGAAAGCTGTCTCTTTAGTACATGCTAACTGGGGAACCACAAGAGTTCAGACTTAATTCATCCCAGATTCTGCCTGCTAGCCACTGTTGTTTGACTTCTAGGGTCAAGCACACTTTCTAATTATAAGCCCTTTGGAAATGTCATTTCCTCTCTATGTTAAGATAATAATAAAGATATCAATGACTGCTTATATTTTTTCCTGGTTAAAGTCATCACTATGTCATTGTGTTGTTATGTTGGCCTGAGTGAAATAATGGGAAATGGATTCTTGGAGGACATGTATCTTCTCTGCCAGGGATACCACAGATGAGCCCATCAGTCTGAGTGTTGTTCCCAGGCACTGTCACCGTATTTTGACTGGTTATTGGTGCTTTGTAATTAGACACATGCCAGAGTGCCCACTCCCGTGAATCTTTCTTGGGCCCTGCATGTAAGTAACTCTTGCTTCTCTTGTAGTCTGACAGCCACTACTCCAGCCACTCCAGCAGCAACACCCTCTCCAGCAACGCATCAAGTGCCCACAGTGATGAGAAGTGGTATGATGGGGACCGCACAGAATCTGAGCTCAACAGTTACAACTACCTACAGGGCATCTCTGCTGATAGCGGAATCGATACCACCTCCTATGGCCTGAGCCATGGCAGCACGGCCTCCCTGGGGGCTGCCACCTCATCACCTCGTTCGGGGCCAGGCAAAGAGAAGGTGGCACCCCTGTGGCACAGCTCCAGCGAAGTGCTCTCCCTGGCAGATCGGACCTTGGAGACTGAGGGCCATGGCCTGGACAGGAAAGCAGAGTCCTCTCTCAGTCTGGACCTCCACAGCAAGAGCCAGGGCGGCTCAAGCCCGCTGACCAGGGAGAACAGCACCTTCAGCATAAACGATGCCGTGTCACACACCAGGTAAGTGCCCTCCTAGCCTCTGCCCACAGGGTTCCTCCCCTCCCCCTCCCCCACTTTAGTGGTCAGTGATGTCCTCAGGGGCACTGGAGTTTGTGTACATTTATTTATAAACACTGTGATTTATATGCTGCTATTTTATGCCATTTATTTTCAGCAAAATTGTTTAGCAATCTTAATGCTTTATTTCAAATTTGGAGAAAATTCTGTAGATATATTAATTGGGAAAAGTTGTTTTTTTTTTAATTTCCCTAACTACATTCCAGAATTAGCTTTCTAATTTTGATTTTCAGCATTGATATATAATGACTATAGAGAGCTACCGATTTTTGAAGATATTTGAAAGTCTAGACTATATTTTTAGACAAAATGGCCTTTCCTAAGACTGGCAGCCTTTCCAGCTTCCTGCCCTCAGCCGTCGCTTACCCCGTGTTTCCATTACTGGTTCCTGACAGTGACACGGTGGGGTGGAGATGCCCATCAGAAAAGCATAGCTAAGGTGCAGTGTGCCCTTTCTACACTCCTGCCTTGTCCTTGGTCATCGCTCTGCTAAGCAAAATGAATGCAGCTCTTCTTTCCTTACGAGCACAGAGTGATCAGACTCTGTCTTAGGGCGAAGCATTCTGCCCTGCAGCTCTGCATCTCTGCTTGTTCCTCCTTTTACCTATTACTGTTGCAAGCTGCTGGTCAGTATGTAACTGTCTAACCTGGTGTCCCACCTGGCAGTGAAGACGAATTTAGCATTGGAGTTTTCCAAATGAGAAGCCGTGCGTGCAACCGTCTAGTAAGTGCCAGATCACCTTGAAGGGAAAAGACATTTACTTTTCTGGTATTTAACTCAGTTCAGCACTCAGGTTTCTCATTGTGTCTCTGTTCTTGCCGAGGAGTTTCACGTTTCTCTTCAAGGTCGAGGCTGTGTGATTGTGTGCATCCTCACAAGCGTACGGTGCCTCTGTTTGTCATCCCTAATTCTAGCTTGTTGTTATTTTTGAGATTGTATTTAGATTACATTTTTCCCTTCTCCTTCCTCCCTCCAAACCCTCTGATATACCATCGCCTACTCTTCTTCAAATTCATGGCCTCATTTTTCATTAATTATTGCCTGCATATATGTATATGCATATATATATATTCCTAAATGTAACCTGTTCAGCTGTATAATGGTATTTGTCTGCATGTTTTCAGGGCTGACCATTTGTCACTGGTCGCTCAGTTGGTGTGCTCTTCCCTGGGGAGGACCACCTCTCCCACCCCCAGCTTTCCTTAATTACCTGTAGTTCTTTGTGTGAGGCTGAGGCCCTGAGGGCATCTCCTCATGCAGTTTGGCATGCTTGTTGGTGTGCTCCTTGTTCAGTCCCTGCTTGGGTGGTCATGATACTGAGACTATATAGGTGTAGCATTTATCTTGAAAAAGAATATTTGCCTCAGCAGGGTAGGGGATGGGTCTAGAAAGGTTGACTGGAAAGGCGGCCCCCGAATGCTGTTAGCAGTGCAGCAGCCTGGCAGAATAGCAATAGCAGAATAGGTATGACCCTCCATCTTATTAGCTAGGCTGCTAGTGTCCCTCGGAATGTTGAGGACTGAGCAGTTTCTAGAAACCTAGATTTCTGTTTCCGTGGTTTTAGTCCACCTGAAGAGAGATCCTTGCTCTAATCTGAGGTAGCAGAAAGGGAGCTGGAGAGAGATGGTCTAGAATGGTGTGACCTCAGAGCAAGGTTGAGAAGAGCTGGGCCCTGGTGCCAAACCACAAAACCCTGAGGCTGTGCTGTGACAAGCCCAGGGGTCACACACACACACACACACACATAAACACACACACACATACATAAACACACACAACCCACACCACCCCCTGGAAGCAGGCACCTGGGTTTTACTGTGTTGACCAGACCTGCCAAAGCCTCAGAACGGATTATCTAGATTTTCTGCTTCAGAGGGGCCGTGTGGAATCATTGAAGTCATTGCCTAGAAATAGCTGTGCTATTGGAAGTCAAACTTACTTGAGAAGAATGTGGTCTTTCAGGAGGACGACAGGACTTCCCACCCACCGGAGGCTTGAGTCACACTGCTCTGGACTCCAGTAAACAGGCATGCTTTGTAACTTGGGTCTGTTGGTCTTGGCAGAGTGAGTTGGATAGTCAGAGCTGTAGCGGCCTCCCCTTTCTGGAGGGAGAGAAAGAGGACTAAGCCACAAATGTGCATTGCTGGGGAAGCTGACATCACAGCAAATTAGAGTGTGTGTGTCCTCTGCAGACAGGAGCAGCAATTAATGTGGAGATCTCTTGACAGTGCATAAAAGAGCTTGTACCTGGGACTTGGTGACAAAATGTAAATTACAGTGATTAAGTTCCTCTACTTGTTTCTGGCTAGGCTGGGCCTTCCCCTCTGTCCTGCAGTTTCCCTGTTGATGACTGCGCAGGTTTTTTGTGGCACCCCTTTGAGAAGTGCATTAATACGGGCTGGTAATTACATGGGGAGGTTATATTTGAATGTCATTAAGAGAAGCCATCCCTACAGATAAGTTGCCATGGGGGTAGAGAATATGCAACCTAGGTTCTAATTTTTTTTTTGTAATTGCTCTTTCCCTTTCAGATCTTAAAATGTATCACCCCAAAAAAAAAAAAACAGATTTATAGTGAACATAGGAGAGGCAAAGTAACACTAACTTTAATATATTCATTCAAAAATTTTACTGTATTCTTAATAGCTGAAGTTTTTGTTTTTTCTTAAGAGTCCTGGCCATGAGAGTAGGCGAGGTCAATATATAGGGTAATGCCTCAATAATGGAAAGTGACTATAAAGCCCCAGAGTGTTGTGGTTCAGCTGATCCTGAGCTCACACCCTACAGAAAGCTTAAAGAACCACCTCATACTTACACATAGACAGCCTTGTTAGCGGGCCTCCATCACTGACAGATGCCTGCACAAACAGCTCACTGGAGGGAAGACTTATTTTGGTTCTTGGCTTCAAGGGTTTTAGTCTGAGATGTGCTGGATCCATTGTTGGGGTCTAGGGTAAGGCAGGACACAATGTGGTGACAGTTAGGAGTGATTGGCAGGGCCTGCCCCACTTTGTGGTGGCCTAGAAAGAGAGACAGACACACAAGAGCATCCAGAGCGTGCCCTCAGAAACCTGTTTTATCCATCTAGACTCCTAGCCCCAAAGTTTCACCCCCCCCAAAAAAATGCCACTATGTTGTGAGTCCTCCGGTGGTCACTCCTTTATTAGCTCCGAGCCCTTGTGATCAGTCACCTCTTGGTCAGTTGGGGACCAAGCCTTTAGCTAGCAGTTCTCAACCATTGGGTTGTGTCCCTTTGGCAAACCTCTAGCTCCAAAACATATTTACATCATGATTCAAAACAGTAACAGTTATGGTTATGAAGCAGCAAGGTAAATAATTCTGTGGCTGGGGGTCAGCATGACATGGAACTGTATTAAAGGGTCACAGCACTGGGGAGCTTGAGAACCTCTGCTTTTAGCACAGCAGCCTTTCGGGGAGGATATGTCTGTCACACTGAACTCCTATCCCTGCGTTTTGTAACATGCCACCTTGGCACGTTAGAGAACCCAGACCTCTTCAGTCACTCTCATTAGCCAGCTATTCTGCTTGCCTCAGAGCTCTTCTTTATTTCCCAAAGCCCCTGGAGAGCCTCTAGGCAGTGGGGACACACATTTTTATTGTCACCTCGTAGAGGAGGACTTCCCACCGAGCACACATACCCTCAGCCCCTGTGCTTTCAAGTATCACCTAAGCATATCAGCAGCAGGGGTCCTGATGGACAAACAGGAAACAACACTCGGTCCTAATGCTCCCACTTCCAGCTGGATGACTCAAGGTCTCACTCAGAGAATTCAAAAGTCACATAGATTCTCAACCCATGACTCCAGAAAATCACACTCCATATCAGAGCTTGCTGCAGACACATCTGCTTTCATGTGTAGGTTTTAGTACTTATGTGTGTTAGTACTTAAGGCCTGTGTGTCTAGCACAAGCTTTTGAAAGTTATTTATAAGTAAGTTTTTTTTTTAATCTTTAAAATGTAACAAGGAAGAAGTTGGTCATTCTGATAGTCACCAGAGGGGCAGATTCAAGACCAAGAAGACTGCCTGCCTGTGAGACAGCTCAGTTTTGTGAATGGTCCTTTTTTGGTTGACCTCATAGGCTAATGAATTGTCTGTGCCAGAACAGCTCTTTCGTGGGAGCGGTGAGGGGGCTTCTTGGGTGGGGCTTATGCAGCCTGTGTGTGTCTGTCTTACAGCTGCTGTGTTTAAACTTTGCTCTCCAGATCCTGGGCCTCTTTCAGATGTGAGAGAGAATGCTTCCTGCCTTGTTTAGAAACTGTTGCATTGTTTTTATATGCAGTGCTTTTTGCTCCAAATCTTTTCTGGCCAAATTTTGTCAGTTGTTAGCAGTTAATTGATTGCCTGTCTTCTTCACCCCACCTTCCACTCCTGATTCCCAAGTACTGAGAATTGAACCCAGGGCCTGGCATTTGGTAGCCAGATGCTGTACCACTGAGCTGCATCTCCCACTCTTTAGTTTTTGATTCAGAACAGGATTTTTCTAAGCTGTCCGGCTGGCCTTGGACTTCTGATCCGCCTGCCAAAGCCTCCCAAGTGGCTGGTATTGCAGGCCTATACACCAGGCCCGATGGTCTTCATTTTTCTCCCTTGGTTGAATACTGTTTTTCTAAGTATTACAGACTAATTCAGAATTTGAAAGTGCAGCCTCTGGAATCCGAAACCCAGAACTTTGGTTGAAAGCTCCATCAAAAGTTTCATTTGTGCAGAGCTCTGCATGCTGTGAGTAGTAGGGATGCATTGCTTTGCTTCTGTAGAGCCAGCTAGAGCCAGTCTGGATGAAGTATCTTGCTGGATCTCCTCCAGCCTGTAGGAGTGATTAATATTTTATCTGGACTTCAGTGACCAACCAGCAGGAGTAGGAAGCTGAACCATTGTGTCCGAAGTTGGAAGTGCATGTTCAGCAATGAGCCCTGTGTCAA